TCTAAAACGTAGAGCTCAGAGAGGTTAGGCACCAGCTATGAAGGGAGCCTCTGCCAGCTGCAGAATGGAGATCCAGCATGTGCTAGGTTTTCACCTCTCAACACTTCTGCCCCAGTGAAAAGAAAAGGATATAGAGCATAGAACTGGGGTCTGCATGGTTTTGCTTCTCTTTCTTTTCTATCATTGTCACTTTCTGGGTTGCTAGGTTCGTGGATTGATGTCTAACACTACCCATTGTGTATTGGTGATTTGCGTTTTGTAATTAAGAGGAACAATGGGAGTCCATTGGGTCTCGTTATATATAATGGTTGGTTTAATTTGTTTCGCTTCTATCTTGTTAATTGTAAATTGATCATTAAGATTTGAATTCTAATCTGTCACCAGGGTTGTGGGTATTGAGGCTAGAGCAATGATCCTGGCTTTAATCACTGATGATGAGAAACAAATTTTATAATTTTGGTACATATTGCAGTTCATATATTTTAACACTGTATTTTATGGTGTTATAAATATTGTTAAATGACTTTTAGTGTAGTTTTACTGTGTGGACTATAATGTATAAATTATATTACTGTTTTGGCAAGAGTAGGTATCCAACTGTGTGAGTTTAATTGAAGTAAAGAACACATACCCTGTTGAACTATTTCTTTTCCCTGGCATGTTTAGATGATGTTAGTTTGGGATGCTACAAAAATTATATTCTACAAGAAGAAACTGATATTGTCCTCTGCCAATTATTACCGAAAGTTGAATGAGACTCTAAAAGAGTAAAAAATTAAGGGGTCATGTTTTTCCTTAAAAAGCAATTATCACTGTAATCCTAATTATCGTAGTAAAATATTATACTTCATGAAAATGTAATTACACAGTATAACTGGTATATAAAAATGCAGTGAGAAGTTCATGCTTCTGTAAAGGCAGTAATTACCTAAATTTTCTATGAAAATGGATTAGAATCCATTTTCTTTTTATATGGCACTAGGATAATCATGCCACAAATGTAATCTCAAGCTAACATAGAAGCTCGTAAGTTTACTCTTTGAACTTTGCAAACTGCTAGTTCTTTCAATATATCATGGACTCTAGACAGATAAAAGATGATGTCCATGTACATATACCAAATTTTTATTGAACATTGGAAGTTGGTAGGCAAATTACTATTATAAACAAAGAAAAGCATACACATAAAATATGCAAAGCAGAAAAGTACTGTAGCAATAAAATACCTGATAGTAATATGTACTTAACAATTAACATTTATATTTTTGAAATTCTGTATATAAGATATCCTCAGTATAGGGCATTTGGTTATAAATGCAAAGAAGAATTAAGGAAAAAAATTTCCTGTAACGTTACCATCCAGCTAACTATGGTTAACTTTTGACATGTTTACTTTCAGTCATTTTCCATGTGTAGGTAAATGTGCGTGTTACCATGCATTTATATTGTGAGTGATATACTTATGTGTGTATATATGTATATATATACATATATACATACATACATATATATATATGTATATATATATATATATATATACAGTTTTACATCCTGCTGTTTTTACTTAATATTATCTGATGAACAGTTTTCTACATCAGTAAATACTCAGGAAACATAATTTTAGTTGAATCATTTGTATGAATAATAATTCATCAGAATTTTAAACTCTTTTTAAATGTAATGAATAATATAATAATAATTTTATACATAAATATGAATTTTTTCATGATTTTCTTAGTTGAGATGTCTAAAAGGGGATTGCTGGTCCAAAGACTGTGAACCCTGTTAAGGCTGTTAATGTGTATGACTTTGCTCAAGTACTGCACTAAATTCTGCTCAGTATATATGTGTACATAGCAGTTTGTGACAAAAAGAAGTGAGAGGTTTTTCAAAAAAGGAGTGAGGGGCCATGTTGCACAGTGGGTGGGGCAACCCCTTTAGAGTTGGACAGACCAGTGTTTGTGTCTGGGCTTGGGTAATCACCATTTAGGTGACCTTAGGCGACTTATTAAACCTCATATTTACCTCCCAGAGAAAAGGGAATAAACACTTATCTTGTAGGATTAATTGAGATATAATGTAAAGGATGAATTCCACTACCAAGTGTAGTGTAGGCATACAGTAAATGTTTTATTAGGCATTTCTTTGAATAATAGGGAAATTGAATGTTTTATAAATGTTTATTGATCATTTATGTTTCTTCCTCTGTGAGTATTTTTCATATCCCTTGTACTTTTTTAATTGGAATTTTGATGAAGTGTGGGGATAGCAGTTTATTATATAATGCTTCTAATATTCATTTGTCTCATTTTTTACGTTCCCCTTTTTTTAATTTTGAAAAATTTGTTCCCAGTTCTTTTTGTTTCTTAAGAATTTTTTCAAAATCAAGATGACTTTATTTTTTGTTTTAAATATTACAATACATGTAATATTCAGAAAATACAGAAAAGGAAAAAAAATATTTTATATTTCTAATCTGGACACCAAGAGATAATCAATATTAATATGTGGTATACATGTCAAAATATTTTTTATTTTATAAAATAGAATTACCTTATGCTGATTTTTAATATTTTCCTTTTTTACCAATATGTCATATTTTTAGGTCAATATATAACACCAATAAATAGCCATATTATCAGAATGGCATCTTGATATTTCTTTTTTTAAGTAATGTAACTAATCATCTGTTGATACATTTCTGGGTTAAGTTTTCCTATATTGGGTTGCAGAGCAAGGTTGTTTCTAGAAACAGTGCTACAAGGAACATGCTCATGAAAACATATGATTTTGTTGTATGTAAAAGCTTTATATTCTTATATTGTAAAATCTATGTTTCTTTCCTGACTTTTAAAAAGTGACTTGTTTTTCTGGGAAAGTACCTGAGAACAGATAAATATTCTTATGCATTTTTTTCTAATCCGGTTTAAGGATATTTTGGGGCCTTTTGGAATTTTAGTGCATAATGCATATTGTGATAGGAAATACTAATCGTGGAAGAATACTAAATTAAAAATTTCATATAACTGCTCCTAAATTCTTTTATATTGTATGTGATTTTGAAAGGATAGACATAGTCATCATTTACTTATTTAGACTATTTCAAATATAAGTAAATTCTTATTAGAAGAAGTAAATATAGATTGAGTGCTTAATCTGAGCTTGAAAATGAGATAATCCATACCCTTGTGTGTAATCTGTAATCTAGCAAAAAGGATGAGGCACAGAGCACAATTCACAGGAATAAATTATAAGCTAATATATGCATAAAAGCTAGAGGTAGTTTCAAAAAATGTGCTGACATAATGAGAACTGCAAATATTAATCAGAGCAAGCTTTCTTCGAGATGAAACTTGAACCAAAGTGAAAACAAAATGAGGAATGAGGTGAACTAAAAGCGAGCGATCGCTTCATGCCACGTGAAGCAGCTTGGTCCTTGGGATAAATTCCCTTAGCAAATCCAAATCTTTTCCAGGAAAAAAAAAAAAAAAAGGCTATGTCACCTAATGGAGGAATCCTTTCTTTGGAGGGAAATAATTTTACATCAAGCATCTCACATAAACCTCAAGAAACGAACCAGTTGTTAACTACTTGTATTTTAATGTGCCAGACTTCTCAGCTTTCAGTTCTAACCTATGAGGCAGTGGAGTATGAGGAGATGGTGGACTAAGGAGTAATGTTTAATTAAATCAAGGACAAAGTACAATTTTTCTTGGACAGATGTCTCTCTTAGCTTCAAATTTTGAGCCTTGAAATGGCCATCCAAGACACTGAAGAAGTAACATTATTTCCTGACAAACACCAATCATCACCAAAGTAGAGAGATATCTGTAATCCCAAATGAAATAATGTGAAAACAGAAAGAAAATTGGGGGAATGATACCTCACTTAGCAAATGGAGGAAGGTGAGTCTTAAATGTCTGCAGACAGGGATACTTGTATGTGAAGCAAGCTGATCTGCTCTCAGGATCCCAGAAAGACTTAGAAGGCAGGAGTGGAATATAGGACTGAAGCCAAAGTTGACAGTTCTACCCCCACCCCATGCAGCCAGGTGACTATCCCTCCTCCACCCAGAAAACTAGGAGCTTCCCCTCTGAAGAGATTAAACCAGCAGGCACTGGTGAAAATAGCTGCACTGAAATTAGAATAGAGGAATTAATTAAAAGTCTACATTCTGAAAGGTGAGTACACCACCCCTCTATTTCCAACCAGCTCCTAGACCACTGATGGTTAGGGTTGTACACAAGCAGGAAAATGGAGAATCCTTCTTTTGAGAAACAGAATGGCCACAGGGGAAAGAATTACGGATGCTGATAATATTGGGAATCTCCCATCAGAAAAGATGGCTTGCCACTCGGTCATTCTACACTAAAGCCCACTTGTTTAGGGAAAATAAATGTACACAAACGCATGTGTAATCATAATATACTCCTTAGACAACAAGGACCAATATTTATGTAGCTGTTATGACATAAAACTGATACTGATTTAACTACAAACTGAAATATTAGTAATTACATTGACAAGCTGGAGGTGGAGTCGGGGGGCAGAGAACCACCATTTTTTTTTTTTGCGGTACGCGGGCCTCTCACTGTTGTGGCCTCTCCCGTTGCGGAGCACAGGCTCCGGACGCGCAGGCTCAGCGGCCATGGCTCAGGGGCCCAGCCGCTCCACGGCACATGGGATCTTCCCGGACCGAGGCACGAACCGGTGTCCCCTGCATCGGCAGGCGGACTCTCAACCACTGCGCCACCAGGGAAGCCCCACCATTTTTTAAAACTATATGATTTTAATCATATACCATTAAATTAGCTATGTTAATTAAAAGAAACAACTCTGTCAGAAATTAGACCTGGGGTTGTTCCTGTAACAGCATGGTAGCTGGCCTGTAATAGATACTCACTAAATTTTTGGTAAATTAATAGTTGTCTTTTTAAAAACGGGATTTGATTATTATCATTTTTGTCTTGTTCCTTGAAAAAATTCTCTCTGTTGAAGTTGTTATTCCTTTATCTGTCTACCAGTTGAGTTCCTGCAGTGTGTATATCCTTCTACTAGACATTCTGTAATTTCTGAAATATTTTATTTTACATAAAATAATTTTTATTGACACTGTTATGTTTAAGTACAGAGTTCAAGAAAATGATAAGGTTATACAATAAAAACACGCTCTGGTAATAAGAACCTTTAACATCTGTCACTTCTGTGTTTACACCTCTCTAGATCTGAAATAGCTCAGCTCAGTCAAGAAAAAAGATATACATGTGACAAACTGGAAAAGTTACAGAGAAGAAATGATGAATTGGAGGAACAGTGTGTCCAGCATGGAAGACTACATGAGATAATGAAGCAAAGGTAATAAAGACTTAATAATCAACTGATGTGCCACCTATTGAATGTGTTTGGTTCAAAAACAGGATGGGAATTGCTGTGGAATAAATAGAATTCATGGTTACTATGGTACTCAAGGAACATGCTTAAAATCTAATATTTCTATATATTTATGCTTTCTCAATTTAGGTTGCTCTTATAATACACAGAGAGGAGAGCACATTCCCTCTTTACTATTCTCTAAAGACACAGAAGTAGATTTAATATAGAACATTGTAGGAAAACCATCTACCTTTAAGGTGCAAGCTGGTAATGTAATATGCAGGAATTTCAAAACTTCTCTTCTAGAAATTAGGTTTTGTATGTATTTTTGTAGGATAAAGCATGTAAGGCCCAAGAAGGTTAAATATATTGCTAGAGTCAGAATTTGACCCCAGACCCTTTGGTTCTTCCTAGTAGTGTACTTTGAGCAAGTTACTCAACCTCTCTGAGCATCAGTTTCTTCATCTATATATTGGAGCTAACAGTAGCCACTTTGCAGTTTGATATAAAGATCAAATATAATATATGTAAAGCACCTGGCTCATTATAGCCACCTACTAAATGGAATCAGTATTTACTCTCTTTTGCTAGATGGAGAAGCTCAAGCTGAGAGATACTAATGTATTTGCTCAAAGTGCCATATTGAGTAAGTTGGTAGAGTTCAAACTTGTTTCATGATCTTTTGATTCCAAATTCCTTTCCTTTTTTGTGCAGTATTTTTTTTGTGTGTGAAAAACACAGTCCCTTATATTTACTATAAATGTGTCATTCCTAATTTCTATACAGTGATGAATTACCCAGGAAAAAAAATCTCAGCAATCACATACATAATAGCAGTTAACCTTCCAGTGGAGATAGTTTTCTTGGCATCCATCTCCCCATTTCTATCCCATCCCCAGACACCCCAGGCCTACTCTGTTTCAAAACCAATTGTTCATATAACTGAGGGGAAAAGAAAATATTTAAATACTCCTTTTGTCATTATTTTTTAATTTAAAGTAAACATAGAGTCCCTCGGCAGGGGGAGGAGGAATGTTTATAAATTTGATCACTTTCTCTATTGAAGAGAAGAAAGGTAGTCAGAAAATGACACCAAATATTAAAATATGAGTATATTTATAAAGAATTAATCATTCATTTATTTTCTAAGCCAGAGATCAGCAAACTATTTCTGTAAAGGACCAGAGAGTAAAATATTTTAGGCTTCCTGGGCCACGAGTAGTCTCTGTCACGTAGTCTTTGTTTTGTTTTTGCTTTTTTTTACAACCCTTTAAAAAGACAAAAACCATTCTTAGCTAGAAGACCAACAAAATGAGTGAAAAGATTTGGACCTTGGGCTATAATTTGCTCCTGTACTATGCAACCAACTCATCTTTCTAATATTTCTTTTCTTACATCTGTATATTGTTTTAGAGTTCACAAAATTCACCTCACGCATGTTTTCTTACCTGAAACAAACCTGGGAAGTAGTTGTTATTATCATCTTCCTTTCCAGGTGGAAAACTAAGGCTCAGAAAGATAAAGTTGCCAACTGAAGGTCATATAGTAAATTAATCATTCATTCATTGATATGAATGATAGTAAATTCATTCATTCAACAAATATTTATTGATTGCTACCATGTGTCATGTTCTCCACCACATGCTGGGAATAAAAAAGCAAAGTAAATATAATTCCTAGTCTAATGGAGTTTACAGCCTTACAGGGAAGATGGATATTGACAAGAGAATTTCACAGATATCTAATTAATTGCAGTAATGATTAGTTATATGAAAGTAAAATATACTTTGTGGTATAAGCACATTTAATAAGGTGACTTACCCTGATCAGAAGAAGTTTCAATGAAAAAAATGACACTTGAAATGAATCTATGAGTGACAGTATAGGGATTATTAGTCCTAGGGCAGGAGCTGGCAAATTGTACCCCAGCCCAAGCCCATTTTGTATGGCTCAGGAACATAGTCATGCTCATTTGTTTACATGTTATCTGTGGCTCCTTTCACCCTACAATGTCAGAGTTGAGTATAGGTGAGTCAGAGACTGGCCTATTTATTGGCTCACAAAGCCTAAAATATTTACTATCTCGCCCTCTCCTAAAAATGTTTGCCAGCTCCTCTTCTAGAGAAAAGAAAACTGTAAATTGAAGGTCCTGAGATAGGACATTTAAAGAAGGAAAGAAACTGTGTTTAACATAAAGAATAATGGAAAAAATAGCATGTGATAAGGTTGGAGAGGCAGGTGAGTGCTGGATAAAGACAAGGCCTTTAAGTTTTTATTGTAGACTTTTCACTTTATCCTTTTACTAAAAGGAAGATATTAAAAGATTTTTTTAAAAACAAAGGACAATTATGTGATCAAATTTGCATTTTAAAAATAGCATTCCAGCTCCAGAGTAGATAATGGACTGGAGCAGAGCCATGGTGTTTACACAAGACCAGTTAGGGAGCTACTGGAGCAGTTAGTCAAGTGATGATGATGGCTTAGATTGAACTGATAATAATGATGCTGGAAGTAAACAGATTGGTGAAATATATAGGAGGTGAAATCAACAGGACTTAATGACTGATTGGCTATGTTGGGTAGAGAAGAGTGCATATCCATATTTCTGACATGAGCAATATGTACATAGTGGTAGTACTTAGTGAGAATAGAAAATACACAAAATAAGCAGGTTTGTGGTTGAGATGGCCTGGGTTTGGGATAAGACCAAGTGTTAGGTTTCGACCCTGTTGAATTTAATGTTCAAGAGCATTGTACAAATGGATATGTTGAATATGCATGGGGACACAAGGGACTAAGCTCAGGAGTGAGGACTGGGCTGGAGATAGAAATCCCCACTGGCTTACAGAGGATATTAGAAACCTTGGGAGTAAATGAGGTCACCTAGAGAAATAAAGTGAGAAGGAAGATGGGCTTAGTGAATCCTAAAGAACATCAAAAGTTTTAAAGGTAAGGTAACCTGAGAAATAACTAGAAACTGAAAAGGCTTGTTATCATGCATGCTGACAGATGGAAATACTTCAGGAAAGAGGAGGTGATCTACCAGATGCTGCTGAGTGATTAAATAAGACTGAAAAGTATCCACTGGACTTAGTGACATGGACAACACTGGTTATGTTAACAAAAATATTTGTACTGGAAGAGTGGGTACAGAAATCATATAATATGGATTGAAAACTTAGTGTGAGTTGAAAAATTGAAATAGCAAATTTAAACCACTTTTTCATAAGATTTGGATGCACAGAAAAGAGGGAAGCAAGAGAAAGCAAGAGACAGACCAACCAACTGGTGGTGGGTAGATGTATTGGGAGGGGCATTTTGGAAAAGAGAATTTTTTGAGTTGCAGTAGATGTGAATTTATTAAATTCTGATTGTCAAAGTTATTAAAGTTATAAAGTCAGGATAGTTACATTTTCCAGCTGGTAGTTTGGAACCCCTGGTGTCCACAAAGCACACCAGGGAATTCAGGCTAAAGATAGCAATGGTATTTCTTTCTAGTTATATTTTAAAATAAGTATTGAGTCATATATTTCTCCCTAGAAAGTAGAACCACGTGAGAACTCCACAGTGTATACAGACGGAGCAAGCCCTAGAGCTAGAGGAAATGGGCTGAACACACTCATGTGTTCTCATGTGATTTAGTATTATGTCACCAACCCCCAGAAATCCTGGTTGTTTTTTTGGTTATATACTTTCACATTTTAAAAAGTTTCTTATGGTAGTGTATTGTTTAAATTATATACATAAAAACCATTGAATGGGGACTTCCCTGGTGGCACAGTGGTTAAGAATCCGCCTGTCAATGCAGGAGACATGGGTTCGATCCCTGGTCCGGGAAGATCCCACATGCTGTGGAGCAACTAAGCCCGTGCACCACAGCTACTGAGCCTGCACTCTAGAGCCCATGAGCACTGAGCCCATGTACCACAACTACTGAAGCCCGTGTGCCTAGAGCCTGTGCTCCACAACAAGAGAAGCCCATGTACCGCAATGAAGAGTAGCCCTGGCTCGCTGCAACTAGAGGAAAGCACACGAACAGCAACGAAGACCCAACACAGCCAAAAGAAAAAAAAAAAAAAAAAAAAAAAAATA